TACATCATGCCTTTATAACCCTCTTTTAGACTGGGCCTCAGTGAGCTGTGAACCTCCAGGCAGTCATTCCCTTCATTTTCCTCAGTTGCTCTTGGGTACCTGAAAGTATGCTACAGATGTGCTGTAACTTCCACCTGGACATCTCAGAACACTTGTTTCAGTTCATTAAAATCAGCTCTGATGCAAGAATTCCTTTAACCCTGGTACTCTGGAGGCAAAGGCAGCCAATTCTCTTTTGAGTTTGAAGCCAGCTAGGTCTAGGACAGGAAGTTTCGTATACCCTGTCTCAAAAATAAAAGCAACAACAACAAACCTTCAGATTTGTTTAAAGATAAGTTATAACAGTGGTGTAGGCAATGGTTTAAAAAAGAAGCAAATTGCTACTTTGTAAATCACTCTGGACGATTGTGAGATTTTCTGTTTTGCCTTATATTTATTTGGGGGTGCATGTGTATTTGCATGCCCCCCCTATGCATTCATTTTATATAGAGGTCATAAAATGGCTTTCTGGAGGGAGTAAATTTTCTTTCTGTCATGCCTTTGTCTTTGAGACAGGATCTCGTGTCACCCAGGTTGGCTCCAAACATACTATATAGCTAGCTGAGTTTTACCCTGAACTCTTCCTACATTTACCTCACTGGTGTGCCCAGCACACCATTATCCTTTAGTGTGGGACTGACCGAGAAGGGTTGTTTATCATGTGCATATTTTCATCTCCAGGGACTTTTATTTACAATAAAAGATGATTGGTGATGATTCTTTCCAATTGGTCTGTCATTTTCAGACAGATGTCACATACCTTTAAATTAGTAATAATTTACTCATTAAAGGCTATTCAAAAATAAAATGGTAGTGTCATATAAATTTGACATCTTGGGCTAGGTGATGCTTGGGGGAGTGTCTTAGTTATATTGCTGTGAAGGAGACACCATGATCATAGCAACTCTTATAAAGGAAATCATTTAATTGGGGCTGGCTTACAGTTTGAGAGGTTCAGTCCATTATCACCATGGCAACAAGCAAGGCAGCACACAGGCAGACATGGTGCTAGAGAAGGAGCTGAGAGTTCTACATCTTGGTCTGCAGGCAGCAGAAGCAACTGGCACGCTGAGAGTAGCTTGAGCAAAGGAGACCTCACAGCCCACTCACACAGCCACACACTTCTGCAACAAGGTACCTACTCCATCAAAGCCACACTTCCTATTAAATAGTCTCTATGAGGCAATTCTTTCAGGCCACCACAGGGAGGGATCATAGTATCCATCATAGCATGTTTACCTGCATCTCTGGACCCCTGAGAGACCAGAAGCAAAACAAAGCAAAACAAACCACAGTAAGACTGAAATGTCTCCAGATGTTGTTGCCAAGTGCCTTGCTGGGGTGGGAGGGGAGCATACTGACACAATCAGGAATCACTGTCCTGTGTGTTTCCTAAGACTTTTTCTTTAGAGGAACATAAGGAATAAAGTGATATTCCATTAGGAGCTAAGCACAAAATCAGCACTATAAAAAACCTGATAGGGTATAATTTTAAACAGGCATAAACAAAATTTTCAGACTCTATTTCTTAATCAAAGGCTAAATTGTCTAGGTAATTGTTTTAAAACAGAACACTAGAAACATTTTAGCAAATGCCACATGGGGAAAATGAAATAGAGATGTAGTTTGTAGCTTTTTCTTTCTTCATCATGTTAAAATGTAAGGCTGCTTATCTGCAGATATTAAGAGATGCATAAAGGTCATTGCACTATTTTTTTATGCATAAGACACAGCAGTTTTCTGTAGCATGCTGGATAAAAACGTGTTTTGCTTCTTTGGTCATGATCTCTACAACAAGTGATGCCCAGCTCCCTGCTGGGGACATCGTTAATCTGACTTCCCCTGCAACATGGTCTTCGTGTGTGGTTAGCATTCATGGAATACCTCAGCTCTCAGGGTTCTTCAGCTTGAACATATGCCAGGGGATGTGGAAAAATACAGCTCAAGAAGAGAGAAGAGCAAAATCCTGTTTCCCCAGAGCCACCTTTTCACATTTGAGTATTCTGTCATTCTTTAAATGACCAATTGTCTCACAAGTATTAGTGGCACTTTGTGGGTTTTGGAGGTTAGTTTGGTGGTATAATGCTTGTCTAGTAGCTACAGAACCCTGGGTCTGGTCCCCATCACTAGAAAAGTTAGAATGGAGGAGGGGGACAGTGTGCTAACAGAATGGCTTAGCTAGTACAGGTGCCTGCTGCCAAACTGAACGCCTGGATTCAGTCCCTGGACCCACATGGTCATTGAAAAGAACCAATCCCACAAGTTACCCTTTGACCACCACACACTCCAATGCACAAATACATTCACTCTTAATGGGGAAAATGTAAAAAAGGGGAAAAATTTGTCTTGTCCCACAAATTAACATTTTCTCTTTGTTTTGTTTTGAGACAGGGTCTCACTATATATATCCCTAGCTGGTCTAGAGCACTCTATGTAGACCAGGCTGGCCTTGAACTCAGAGATTAGACTGCTTCTGCCTCCCACGTACTGGGATTAAAATATGTTCCATCAATCCGGCCTTCAAATTTAGTTTTCTTAATATATTTCTTGAAATTAAAATTTTGTCATTTTCCTCTTCCCTTGTATACCCCTCAAATTCATGGTGTAGTTTTGTTTAGTTGTGCACACATGTATAGTATATTCCTAAACATACAAATACAACCTTCTCAGTCTGTATAATGTTATGCGTATGAATATGATTTCAGGGTTTACCATGTGGTATTGTGGATAACCAGTCGATGTGATTTTCCCTGGGAAGACTACTCCACTGAGCACCCCTTAGTTGCCTGTAGATCTTCCTCCAGGTTGTGGCTCTTCCATGAGCGCATGTCTGTTAGTTCAGGTCTTTGTTCTTTACTGTTTTGTTTTTTGTTTACTTGTTTGTTTTATATTTTTAATTTGATTTGGAACCCTAAAAATATTTCTTTTATTGAGTAAGAACTCTAAAAGGATTTCTATGGTGTAATCATTTGCTGTATTTCTTAGATATTTTCCAGTCTGTAAGTTTCTCCTTTTCTCAATTCCTCTACAGCCTGGGAATTCATATTGCAGTGTCCCCTTCGGCCTGGGAAATTGACAAAATTATCACTTGCTTCAAGTTCTCTGTCTCCACTATTTCCGGTGGGCTGCATTGCAGCTAGAGGCTGGATCAGATCCAGATCTTGGCTTCTTTTTGACAGGTCAGGGAGAAGGCTGTAGCCATTGGTGGCAGCATTGCTGGTCTCTTGCACAGCGACTTGAAATAGATTTTAGCTAATGGTTTTTTAGTATTTTCTCTGTGCACAGCAATGTGCTTGAGCTTTTCAGGCATGTGTCTTTAATCTTAGTGGAATCTAATAATGCTAGCACATGCCAATTTATAGCTGGCAACCAAACTTCCTGTCAGGGCCAAGTAACCTCAAACATTTTTATAGACAGACCTCTTGGTTCCATTGTATTGCATGCAATTTAGATTTTTTTTTATGAGTTTATCTAGTGCTATGTAAAAATATTTTTCATTAAGAGCTCTTTTACACCGGGCAGTGTCCTCATGCTCCTTCAATCTCAGCTCTTGGGAGGCAGAGGCAGGCTGATCTTTGTGAATTTAAGGCCAGCCTGATCTGTACTGTTCCAGAATAGCCAGGACTACACAGAGAAATCCTGTCTTGATAAAAACCCAAAACAAACAAGCTCTTTTATATTTAGTAATAAAATCCAAAAACCTACCATCTAACTGAATGTTTTGTACTCAAGTTTTTGGTACTGGGGTTTTCACCATATGTGAAAACTCACAAGGATGGTTCTGTGACAGAGTTTGGTGTTTCCTGATGTTTCCCTTTGAACTCGTCATCTTTTGCAGGTGCACCCTGAGCGGCTCGTTCGTCTCTCTCTCTGCTTTCTTCTCATGCCCGTAGTGCTCACAGTAATATACTGTTTCCCAACTGGCTCAGAGTTATAAAAGCAAAACTAGCTTTTCATTGTGTGTGTGCATCTTTAATTTATTTTGCTCAGTTCTACTGTTTATTAAATCAAACCACTGAAAGTCTAGATCTCAAAAGCAAATATCAGGCTATGTTGACCAGGTGCCACATTTGAAGATTAGCAGCTTGTGTAGAAAGGCATCAGTAGCTTTGATCATAGCAGAGCAGTAGGCACAAAACAATGCAAAGAGGACCCTATTGTGTGGTTTTATTAGTTGACATTCCAGGAGTAATTTATGCTTTTTTTCATTTTCCTTTTTTGTTTGTTTTTTCTTCTTTAGAGAAAGGATGTTATATAGTCTAGATTGGCAACGAGTTTAACTAGAGGTGGCCTTGAACTTCTGATTCCCCAGCTTCCAGCTCCCAAGAGCTAGAATCACGGGCACACACACCAGACCTGGTTAAGTCATTCTTTCTGTTGTTGCTGTTTTGTTTTTGTTTTTTTTTGTTTTTTGTTTTTTTTTTCAAGACAGTTTCTCTGTGTAGCTCTGGGCTGTCCTGCAACTTGAGCTATAGAGTAGACCAGGCTGGCCTCGAACACACAGAGATCAGCCTGCCTCTGCTTTCTGAGTGCTAGGATTAAAGGTGTGTGCCACCATTTGCTGACTGAAATATCTTATTGTTACTATGTTTATTCATAAAGACCTTTAAAATTCTCATCTGAAACTGTTTGGTTAGTTTCTTAACAACGGAAGCTGTAGATCTCATTCCCTGGTCTTGGAGTAGCACTGTGTTGTGCTGAGTAAGTAGCTCTGGTGCTGATATTTGAAAGGTTGTACATCCTAAAGGGAATTTTGTTTTTTGCTTATCAAGACCTGGGAACTTACTTCTCTAAAGCCTGTGTTTCTTGGGCTCCTTGAAAATGCTCTTTGTTCTAGAAGTGCCATACAGAAGCCCAGACTGTACATTGAGCTTCCTGCAGCAAGGAGAGTGCCCTGACTCAGGGCAGTGAGTGCTGGCTTGTTCCTAACTGCGTGACTGCTATGTGTCCTTCACTTGCAGGCTCGTCTCTCATATGTGCGAGTGAAGTATCTTTTCTTTTCCTGGTTGGTGGTTTTTGTTGGAAGCTGGATCATATATGTGCAGTATTCATCCTATACGGAGCTATGCAGAGGGAAGGACTGTAAGAAAATCATAGTAAGTATATTAAATATTTCAGTTTAAAAAATATCTCCTGTAACTGACTATAGTTACTATGTAAGGACTGACTGAAGTTTTTCAACATAAAGGCAATTTGATGTTACACTTGTGCTGAACTTCCTAAATCTTTGATAAATTCAGTACTTAGAATTCTAAATAAATAGCACAGGTAAGTCTGTGTATCAGTACAGAAGGAAGCAGTCTCACTGCAAAATGGGGTTTTGTTTTAGTTTTCAAATATATTTTAAATTAGGGTTTTTATGTATCAGATTTTTTAAATGTTTAGGGTATGAATGTGTTATGTATGGACTTTCTAGAATAGTTGTTTTGTTTTGTTTTGCTTGTTTTTTGTTTGTTTTTTAGAAAGGGTTTCTCTGCGTAGCCATGACTGTCCTAGAACTCATTCTGTAGACCAGGCTGACCTGGAACTCAGATATCTGCCTGCCTCTGCCTCCCCAAGTACTGGTATTAAAGGCATGTGCCACCACACCTACCCTAGAATACATATTTTTAATAAATGGAATCATATCAAACACAAAATTTTATCTAAAGGGTATGTATTTATCACTTTTTTTTCCTAGTGATTCAAAATATTTTATAAAAATCATTTTATCAGCCTGGTGGCACACACCTTTAGTCCCAGCACTTGGGAGGCAGAGGCAAGCAGATCTCTGTGAGTTTGAGGCCAGCCTGGTCTACAAAGCGAGTTCCAGGACAGCCTCCAAAGCTACACAGAGAAACCCTGTCTCAAAAACCAAAAAAAAAAAAAATCATTTTATCAATTCAAGATTAATAGTAACAGTTACTGGTTATAGAGCACTCAAATTTAAATACTTGAGGTTCTGACTAAGTTAACTCCTTATTGTCTATGAATGCCTTTCAATATACATCAATAAAACTTATTTCAGAACCATATGTTTGTTTTTGTTTTGTTCCATTTTTATGACACTTTGGCTCAAACCAAGGACCTCAGGCATCCAAGCAGCTGCAAAATGTTGAGAGTGTCTGTGTGTGAGCATAAAAGCGTGTGTGTGTGTGTGTGTGTGTGTGTGTGTGTGTGTGTGTGTGTGTGTGTACATGATGTACATGCATGTGGCTTTGAATGTCAGAGGACAACTTTCAGTTCAAGCCTTCCTCCATGTCCCTGTTTCTGCCACTGCTCCACGCTGTGCTGTCTGTGTGAGCATCTGGCTAATTCTCCTTGTCCTCTCCTGGCTCACCTTAGGATGTGTAAGCTGCTGCATCTGGCATTTCACATGTGTTCTGGGATTAAACTCGGATCATTGGAGTCATTTGCCAAGTGATTTTACCCACTGAGCCCTCTTGCTGGCCCCATCGTACAGTTGCTGACCATGATGAAGACTAAGGCAGGGGGATCATAAGTTCATTGCAAGACTGGGATACATGATAAACTATCTCAAAAGAGGAGGAGGAAAAGAAAGAAAAAAAGGAGGAGTAACTATAAGTCCAGTAATTATAAGTCATTAAAGGTTTTATATTATTGGATGTCACTTTAACCAGGACAGTTGTCTCAAATGTGTATATACAACAGGAACAGTATGTATTGCTCCCATAGAGCCAATAATTGAACAGAGATGAAAATAAGTAATCATAGTGGAGTAGGTATTATCAAGCTAGGACTTGGCTCAGTGGGTAAAGTTCTTGAGTTTGGATCCGCGACACCAACATAAAAAGTCAAGCACAGGGATGCATGTCCATAGTCTCAGTCAGAGAGGCAGAAATAGGAGGACTCAGGCGCTTGATGGCCAACCTAGCCAATCCATGACATCAAATAAGATAGGGAATAATAGAAGACATATAACATCACTGATGGTCTCCATGTGCAGGCACACCCCCCCACACACGTGTACATACGCATAACAACACACACAAATATGTATACTCTCTGAATCAAGTATTCTTTGGTCAAACATATTTGGGAAAAAAGAGTTTTGACAAAAATAAACAACTGACATTACTGAATATTTATTTCAGTATCTTTAATGTAGTAGTGTATGTTCATATCTCTAAGAGACAATAACTGTACTTGGCTAGGAGAAAGTGCACCCTGCCAGCCCCATTCCAGGAAAGCCTAATGACATCATCCAGTGATATTAGAGAGAGTACTCTTAGAGATAGAACCAAAACTAAATGGTGAAGATTTTGTCTTCTATTCACATCTTATTAAACATGAGGCACTTGTTGGTATTATTCTGTCACCATGAAATACCATTAAAAGTGCCTCACTATTGCTTACCCCAATTTCCCTTTGATTTGTAAGAACTAGAAACAGAATGTGATTCCAGCATAATTTGCTAGTTGTTTTACAAATTCTTTTAAGTCTATCATTTTCTCGTAACTTTTTTTTTCAATTGTTGTTACTTTGCATTGGGCTCGTGAGAAACAGAACTTGAGGTGATCTTCTTGCCTCCACACACATGCACTTGTGTATGTACACACACAGAGGGAACTCTGGAGCTGGGACAACCTTTAACTCCATTGCTGGCCAGTTTGTGGGCGGCGTGGTGTGATCAAGGTCTCACTCCCTCTGAGAGCAGGTCCTAGAACAGAGATCACTACTGCTACTCCAGCAGCTGCTCAGTTAGCTGCTTGAGTCCTGAAGGCAGAGGCTTGCATGGCTCACTATGGGGTCAACTGCAGTATATTTAAATTTGCTTTTGGTAATTACCTGAAACCTAAATGGACCAGGTATTTATTTTCAGTACAAAGTTTGTTAGCTGTATCCTAAAAATTAAAATAGAAAGTTCAGTATAGAAGCACTGGCCTGTAATTGGAGTACTTGGAAAGATCAATGAAGATTGTGTAACAAATTCCAGGGCAACCCGAGGTACAGAGCAAGACCCTGCCTCAAAACCAAAACAAAAAGCAAATCTTAAATGTTTTAAGAATCAAAAGTAAAAAGAAAAAAAGAAAAAGGAAACCATTCACACAGATATTAAAATTCTAACAATATATATGTAGAAAAAATCCTGAACCAGCCCCTCACTGTCTTAAAATGTAATATGTTTTAGATTTGTCCTCCAGTGTTTCAGTTGTATAATATTTGCCTAGGGTTTGGTTTTTCAAAATTTTCTGCAATGCATACATCTTATTTTGTCCCGATCATTCTTATTTTGAAATAGGGCATCTAAGTGTATTGTCTCTCTCTCTCTCGACTACATCTACTGTTCTTTTATTTAAGTAGATAGATCAAACTTAACCAGAGCATATAAAGTTGCTGCTTTTAAGTTTTAGGTGCAAAATAAAAAAAGCTGCATTATCTCAAGGCCATCCTTAACAAAAACATGCTCAGCAAAAGATTATAGCATTCTGTGTGTAAGCTTTCAGCAGATTTCATCCCAAATCCTTAGTTCCAGCTTTGTGAAGGGAGATGAGAAAGAGACACATCAGAGCCAAAGAAGAGCTACAAACACCACTGTCACTAACCTTTGGAAGCATTATTTGTTTTCCTCTTTGGGTGTTGGTGGTGTTGCTTTTAGCTTTCCTCTAATTATTTTCTCTATTTTAAAATATTTATTTTCAAAGTGATTACTATCATATAACATTCATTTAGTGTGTTGTGTAGTATATGTGAATGATTATGTGCCTGTGAGTGCAATGCCTGCAGAGGCCAGAAGAGGGCACTAGGTCTCCTAGAGTTGAGTTACAGGTAGTTATTACCTGACTGGTGTGGATTTGGGAACCAGACTTGGGTCCTCTGAAAGAACAGTGTGTGCACTTAACTGCTGAGCCATCTCTCTAGCTCCCTTTAGCAGTCTTTTAAAAAGTGTGAGTCCAGCCTGATCTACACAGTGAGTTCCAGAACAGGCTCCAAAGTTACACAGAGAAACCCTGTCTTAAAACACCAAAAAAGAAAAAAAAAATGTAATTTCTTCAGATATGGTGGCACACACCTAAATCCTAGCACTTGGGAGGCAGAGTCAAGTATATCTGAGTTTAAGGCAGCCAGAGCTATAGAAAGAAGATAGATAGAAGGGTGATATAGGTAGATAGTTTTATAAGTTGATTATATGTAGCTTTTATATATAATCCCTCCTAGAAAAGATCAACAAGTATTCATTATCTACCATGTTAGTTTTTCTGGATACTTGGGGTGCAGTGGTAAGATATTCAAAATCTATACATTAAGAAACATATAGTAAAAAGATGAATACACATAATGAACTCAGATTAAGCTCACATACACACTGAGAAAAGGTAACAGAATGTCATAGAGAATGGCTATGGTATGCCACTTTCCATGCGAGGAATAGTCTCCTTGCAATGATGGCATTTTGAATTGCAACCTGATGGGAAGGAAGCAATTGTCTGAAATTTTGGACAAAGTCTTATAAGAAGAAAGGACAGTGAGACAAATGCCTGAAAAGGGAAGCAAGTCTTCATGTGGACTTGTGAGATCTCTTTTAAATGTTAAGGAGTGGGGAGATGGCTCAGCAGTTAAAAGAAGTTGCTGCTCTTACAGAGGATTCAGTTCAGTTCCCAATACTCACAACCATCTGTAACACCAGTTCCAGAGATCTGATGGCTTCCATGTGCACCAGGCACTCACACAGTACATATATATACTTGCAGTCACTTACACATACACATAAAACAAGTAAATCTCCAAAAAGTTATATAGGACTATTGTGTGTTTGTGACTTGAGGTGGGGAACATAGGGATGCCACAGTGTGGGTGTGGAGTGGATTCTCTCCTTCTACCTTTATAAAGGTCACGCTACATGAGACTTGCCTTGTAAGCATCTTTTCTTGATGAACCATCTCTGTTGCTCAGCCCTGAAATCTTACTTTCACCACAGTACATGTATTAAAGTGCTTTGCATTAATGATACAGTTCACTGAGTACCAGGAACTTCTTGATTACTATATCATATCAGTTCACTGTTGAGAACACTGGGCTGGAGACAAAGCCCTGGGCTGTGACCCCTCTCATAGCTTGCTTTGCTTCATTCCAACTTACTGAGGAGAAAGACATT